ATACATGCAAGCATTAATCTTTAAAGTTAGTATATTCGAACCCAACATACCGCCGCCCTTGAACTATCTATGTTCATATGATAGGTTCAACTTAATTTTACAAATAGATGGTTACAATACATTTTTGAAAGAAAAAACTTTAAATATAGGAAAAAAAGACTTAAAGTACGATTATCTTATTGGGCTATGAGTCAGCATCATCGCAAAATAGGTCTCCTTTGGTGGGTAGTAGGCACAACTTTGCTATTGGACGAACAAACTCTCCATTAGACGTTTTCACTGTCACGACTCGTACGCGACCATCAGCTCCAGGATGACATCGAATTACCCTCGCTAGTAACCACTTTGTAGGTGGAGTAGGCTCGTTGAACACAGCTACTATATCTCCTTCTTCGAAGTTGCGTGTTGGCCGAAACCACTTTGTGCGACGTTGCAGGCTGACAAGATATTCATCTCTCCAACGACGCCAAAAATGCCGCCTTATTGCGGAAATTAACTGCCAACGTTGATAAAGATTTCCGCAGAACCCTTGACCCTCAGGTTCTGGGATTGACTTAAGCGGCTCCCCAACGATAAAGTGCCCTGGGGTTAACGCTTCGAGGTCGACTGCGCTTGTTGTGCCTTCACATAACGGGCGGGAGTTCACGCATGCTTCGACTTCTGTCAATAATGTACTAAACTCTTCGTATGAAAGTAGAGTTTCGCCCAAAACGCGTTTTAGGTGGTATTTAATGCGCTTGATACCGGTCTCCCAGTACCCACCCATATGCGGCGCGGTCGGCGGATTAAAACGCCACTCTATGTTCGACTCAGAAAAGAAAGATTGTAGTCTGCCGTCTGCCATGCATTGCTCATATCTGTTGCGAAGTTCCTTCTCAGCGCCGACGAAGTTTGTGCCATTATCTGAAAACATCGTTTTGCAATACCCTCTTCGGTTAATAAACCTTTTGAACGCGTTAAGAAAAGCGGAAGTCGATAAATCTCCGACAAACTCTAGGTGCATTGCGCCAGTGCACATACAAATGAAGGAGCAAATATAGCCTTTGATGGACTTCGCCCCTCTTCCGTGCGTGTACTTAAACATGTATGGGCCGGCAAAATCTACGGCGGTGCGAATGAAACAGCGGACGTAGGTAACTCGAGATACAGGAAGATCACCCATTGATTGCGTAGCGAGATTCCGATTTAAATAAGTACATTTTACGCACTTGCGATAAGCACTGCGGATCAAGTTGCGGGCGCCAATAACCCAGTAGCGCCGTAGCAAAACCACTTGCATTAAACGTGGTCCTGCATGCAGAGTGAACCGATGAATGTCGAATATGATTAGCTTCGACAGCGGAGAATTCTTGGGTAAGATGACGGGATGCTTTGCATCATATGCGACATCCGCGGACTTCAGTCTACCCCCAACTCGAAGAATACCATTTGAGTCAAGAAACGGCTGCAAGCGCAACAGGCTACTGCGGAGCGGGATCGGCCTTTTTGCGCTGCAATGAAAAATTTCGCTAGTAAAGAAAAAATTTTGGGTATACCTTATTAAACGGCGCTCAGCTTCAGCTATCTCAACACAGCTAGGAGGACCACATCTTTTTTCGCCAGTGCGTTGAATACTAGAGCGGGTATTGAGCATAAAACGTAAAACGTAAGCGATGATTCGCCGTAATTTGGAGTACGACGAGTATTTAGTCATTATCGACCAATGAAGATCCGAGTTTGTGACGTGAGAATGAACCTTCTTCCGTAGACCCAACTCCGTTACGTGCGTTTTTGATAAGCCTTGCTTCCAAAACTGGTTTGAACTACTCAGAAATTCTGGACCGTTCCACCATTGCTCATGGTGCAGAAGTTTTTGCGGAGTCATACCTCTAGACGCGCAATCTGCTGGATTTCCTTCAGAGCGTACGTGATTCCAGCACTCCGGAGGAAGAATCTCGTGGATATCAGCGACCCGGTTTGCGACAAACGTTTCCCATCTGCTAGGGTGTGCTTGCAACCATGCCAACGTAATAGTTGAGTCCGTCCAAGCAAATAACGGGTATCGTAGATCACCCCAACTATGCAACACACTTCTAACTAACTTAGCAGCGAGGTGAGCAGCGCACAGTTCCAAGCGTGGCAAAGATGTAGTTTTAATCGGTGCCACTTTGGTTTTGGCCGAAATTATTGAAACGGTGACCTGACCGTCGCTATGAACGGTGCGTGCGTACATCACTGCAGCGTAAGCGCGCTCGGAAGCATCAGCGAAAATGTGCAATTCAGTAAAGGATGCAGTCGTTCCACAACCGAGCCAGCGACTCACCTTCAAGTCTACTAGTTTCTGCAGCTGCACGCGATGATCAACCCATAGATTTGCTATTGCGTCTGGTATGAAGTCATCCCATCCAACCTCAGCGCGCCAAATGTCTTGGAACCACATTTTCGAGCATATTGTCACAGGAGCAAGTAAGCCCAGCGGATCAAAGAGAATACTGGCATCTGACAAAAAGGCTCTTTTAGTCAAAATAGCGGGAGGCTGCTTTAGGTCGACTGCGAATGTAAAGTAGTCGCCCTCTATGTTCCAAATGAGGCCTAACGCATGAACGTCCTTACCGTCGACTATGTAATGGGATATAGTTTGAGATGACTTGGAGATGATTTCTTTCAGCTCAGCGCAGTTAGATGCCCACTTCCTTAGTTCGAAGCCGCCTTCTTGAAGAATTTCGGATACGTTTTGTTGAAGCAACCGGAGTTGTGACTTGCAAGAGGCTCCAGTTAGCAGGTCATCCATGTAAAAATCATTGAGGATCGCGTCAACCGCTTTCTTACACCCATTAGTTGTGCACTTAGCAGTTTGTTGCAACGCTTTTACAGCTAAGTGAGACGCGGCGGCCACCCCGTACGTTACGCGTAACATGCGGTAATCTCTAATGGGTGAAGATGGATCTGGACGCCAAACGATTCGTTGCAGATCGACGTGTTTCGACGAAACGCACACCTGCCGATACATCTTAGCTACATCCGCGGTTACCGCGTAGCGATGCGTTCTGAAGCGCAGCAATATAGAATATAAATCTTGCTGTAGCTGAGGTCCAACAAACAATGCGTCATTAAGCGAGTTACCCGTGGTGGGTTTGGCGGACGCGTTGAAGACTACCCTCAGCTTGGTCGTAACGCTGGATTCTTTAATGACTGGGTGGTGTGGCATATAATACACCTCACTCGTCGTTTCAAACACCTCCTCCATGTGACCCATGTCAATGAGCTCTCTCATGAACTCATCGTAGCGCAAGCGCAAATCGCTGTTGCTAGCGAGCCTTCGTTCTATGCATAGCAGGTTACGTATTGCGAAGTTTCGTGACTCACCCAATACTGTATTAGGTTTAAGCGGTAGTTCAACCACAAAGCGACCATCCGGCATTCTTTGATGTGTAGAATTGAAGTGATTCTCGCAGAAGTTTTCCTCATGCGTGAGATGCTGTTTCTGCGGCGAGTCTTCGAGCTCCCATAACCTAGCGAGCGCTCGATCTAATTGCACATCACAATGCAGCGATTGCAAACTAGGCGTTGGCGAACCAAGACTGTCAACGTTTCCAAATAAAGTCCAGCCAAAAACTGTTTTCTGGGCCATAGGCGTGCCAGACGGACCTTTTCGAAGCTCCACACAGATTAGTTGATCCATTACATCCATGCCTACGAGTACGTCTATGCGGCCAGGCTTCGCGAAATTTGGATCAGCTAGGAATAAGCCTTGGATATGTGGCCAACTAGAAACACTCAAGGTCTGCGTCGGCAAATCGTTGGTGATTTTCGGAAGAATCAGCGCGGTAATATCGTAGCATTTATCCGAACAATTAGACGAAAGCGTGAGCAGCGTTTCGCCTCTACAGCGACCGCCTTGCGATGAACAAATTCCTGTGACAAATACAGAAGACGATGAACGTGTTAATCCCAAACGCTGTACACATGCCTCCGTTACAAAAGAGGCGTGCGACCCGGTGTCGAACAATAAACGTGCTGTCTGCCAATGACCAGCGCAGTCTCGAATCTTTACTAATGCGGTAGATAATATAACTGATTTTTGCGTTGCAGGTAGCGGAATGGAACCAGCACTCAAGCAGGACGAAACGTGTGAAGCAGCGCTATTCACTGCTAAAGCGGTGGCAGATGAACCAGTTGCATGGTTGCTTACAGATGCGGGATTCGAAGCGGCAGCGATGGCATCGACGACATGAGCCGATGTGGCGACGGGTGAATGTGTATTACTGTGAAGCAGCGTATGGTGTCGTTGATGACATATTCGGCAAGCGGATGAGCTATTACAGCGTTCTTTGTAATGCCCTGGACTTAAACAATTCAAGCAAGCTTTGGATTCTTTGATAAATTTAGATTTTGCAGTAAAATCTAAACTACGAAATTTGTCGCAAGAGTAGATCTTATGAGCTGCATTGCAGTACATGCAGCGCGCGGGGTTTTGCTCTGGAATTGCGTGAAATACTTTTGTTGATTTCGCAGCATATTTATGCGTCGTCGGCTTAATAGTTGTTGCCTGCGGAGCAGGCGCGGTAATCATTGCCAATGAGCGGCACCTAATCTCCAGAAACGTTGTCAGTTGTTCGAAGGTGGGGGGGTTCATCGCTAATAAGCGATAACTCCCACTGCTTGCGGGTTTCGAACGCGAGTTTATTTACTGTATTATGTACTAACCAATCGTCCCAGAAGTCTACGGGACGCCCTAATGCTTTAAGCTCTCGTATGTGTTGCTGAATTGCATCGAGAACACCCTTAATAGCATCAGCAGTGTCACCCGAAGCCTTGCGAACGTCAGCTATCGCCCTGAGGTGTGCCTCAACAATAACTCGCATTACTTTATAGCGAGATTTTAGCAAGTCCCACGCCTCTGTGTAGTTTGCATCACAGATTTTGAAGCCACTAATAATGCTTAGTGCATCACCTTTTAGGCAACTGCGCAAATAATGTAATTTTTGCCCATCTGACAAAGCGGTGTTGGTGTCAACCAACGAACAAAAGGCGTCATAGAAGGCGACCCAATCCGTGGAATCGCCCGAAAAGGTTGGTAAATCCATTTTGGGCAAACGTATAGCAGCAGACACAGACGCTGACGTAGCTGCAGGCTGCGTGGGCGGTTCCGCCCTACACTTTTGAACCCGTTTGAAGTTGGCTAAAGCTTCAGCATACCAAGTTTCACCTTGTATGCGAGCGTTCTCCTGTACTTCCACATTGTCAGATCCACAAGATGTTTCAACATCATCTTGAGCAGCGGTGAAACGTACCCATTGCTCGTTAAGGAGTTGTAAATAGCTTGATACAGTGTCGACGTCCATGAGAAAAGCTTCGTCTTTGCTTTTTGTCATGTATCTTTTTATAGCATTTAGTGCGGAGTCGCGAGTTTTTACCGAAGAAGACATTATTAGTTTTGCTTTATGGGTCGTTTGTAGATAAACGATATTTTATGTTGATTGCAGAGGGCAAAAAAAAGTCACGGCAGATTTGTAAGTAATGCAAAGTAAAAAAACTGATAATTCGTAGAGGACAAATCAGAGGACCGCAGAATGTCACAATAACGCATGTATTTCGAACGATTTGCAGAGGTCAAGCCAAAGTCACCTTGAGTTATGAAATTTATGCTTCTTGTACGTATGTATGTAGGTGTGAATGTGACCTACACCTTGATTTCCATACAATTGCGCTTATACGAGCGGTTCGAGAATATTCGGACCGAAGGACCAGCAAATGTTGCAGAGTTTTCCCAAATGTTGATTGCGAGAAGATTCCTTGTTA